AGACCACGTACAGATATGTACATGTGACGCATGTCTGGTCTATGAAACTTAGGCCAACTTTAGGACAGTGTAAGGAGATGATCCGCTATGGAGGTTCTACTGTATTTTAATTCAGAGGCTACAGTAGAAATGGATTGGAGTTCCCTAAATTTGACGTGGACACAAAGGCAAGTATACTTCAAGTTAATGAAAAAGTCAACAAATGAACTTAATACCTACTAAGAAGTAAAGGGAGAGCAGAAAGATGGATACATTCTTCCAAAATCACTATTTTCTGCTTTGCGTCTCTCCATGCACATCATTCTGGGCCATTTTATTATTTTTGAATCTGACATGTGTGACCACAAAAGCTGATTAGAAAAGAATGGTCTCAGTGAGCGAGGACTATATTGACGTTTCATTCAAGTCACATAAAAGCCACAGTAGTTTAAAGTTTCAGCCTGTTTGCATTTTGCTTCTGTTTTGAGCAAAGATACCATCTCACATTCCCTGACAATTTGTCTGTAATCGCCATGGCAATGTAGCATTCTCCAGTGTGTCACAGAATATGTGACATAAGAATATGAATACAAACATATGAAAAAAAAGCCCTCAGGTAGTTGTTAATTTCTGGCGTTGTGTAATTAAACTAGTTTTTTGAATGTTATCTTTTGCCAGTATCTAATTAGCAAAGCCATCTGCTGAAAGACTAGGGGCCCATCTGCCTGGAATATTGTTCTCTTCATTTTTATGAAAAGTGCCTTCCTTGGCTGGTCCCTGTCTAATTAACTTCTCTGGCTGTGGAGTGTGATAATACACAGCTTTGTTTATATACTTCCGAGAACTGTGGATTTATATGTATAGAATACATACATAAGAGGAGCCAACCTCCTTTTCTTTCCTACCTCTGATTTACTCCTGAGACGCCAGTTCCCTTTATCAGAAGCGGGGCTCATCTGTGTGCAGGCCGTTCTGGTGTGTGCTGCATTGTGAAACCACAGGAATGTCAGTGCATCCCCGGGGTGCCTGCTGATGTAGAGGGATTTTTTTCTGTAAGCCACTTCTGTTTGTTTGTTTTGTTTTTAGGTCTATTTGTAGCCCTGTTATTTCTTGAAAGTTGATAATGTTGTTAATCAGCATATGTGGCTGGGTCTGAGCTGAACCTCCTATAACAGTGAAAATGAATACCATTGATTTCTTAGATTTAACATGATGCAGTACAGCTGAGGGAATACACGTGTGGTGTGTCTATGGCAAATTATTATCTGATATATACAAATGTTATCTATATGTTTTTACTTCTGTCAGTAATCTGAAGAGTGTCTTGAACTTGGTAGGTACCCAAGGACTATTTATTAGATGAAAAAGAGAATTAATGCATGTACATAAAGCTAGACGTCTGTAAGTTGTTCAGTAGTACAGATGTTATTTGTATGAATTTACAGAAAAAAATGCACCACAAATAAACATCTTTGTGTCTTTTAAAATGCAGATATTTCAAACTCACTACCTATTATAAATTGTCTCTGAATATCCGAGTAACTAAACGTTATTGCTGTATAACCGTGGGTGAAATACATACGGCAAAATAAATGTGGAGTGGAATAGAAAAGCAATATTTTTTTCCTACAAGGCCATCACACAATGGAAAAAGAGAAAAGATGACAGAAATTAAGTATTTTTAAAAAGGACACTCTGGAAATGAGAACAGGAAGGTCGCATGGAGGTCTGAAATGTGGAATGCCTTAGCATTTGTTTTGACAGTTTAAAGATAAGTTTGGATGGGCAGGAAAATATCTTAAAATGAATTTGAAGGCAAAAAGATGACTTCTCAAATCAGTAGGGAGACGCGCTCTAAAATCATGATCCATGAAAGAACACCAGTCTTTACTAAGAAGGCTTAATTAAAAGGCATTTAATTAATTAGAATGGATCTGATAGAATAAGGAAGTTATGACTGGGTTAAGAAAACATGTGATTTCACTCAGAAATATGGTTGATTTTGAGAAATAAGATCTGTATCAGGAGAGTTCCACTGATGTTCGTATTTATCTCGAAGGGAAGAGTTTTTAATTTTTTCTTTGTTTTCCTATTTGCCAAGTAATCAAATGTCTAGTTAACCTGCTGAGTAGAAATACCACTGCAGGATTAACCTGGGACCCCCAATCCCAGACTCATCTGGAAAAGCCCCTTTCCCCTCCTCATTCCTTTTCAGATTCTGCTTTATGTAATGATGTGTTTACGCCGACTGGCTTCTGCACTAAGTAAAGTTCCATTTTTAATATAAAATTTTCTTTTATCCTGTTCTCTCTTCTGGTAGAAAGTGAATCAACAGAAAAGCTATACAATCATGGTCTTTAATTAATTCTGGATTTGAATATTACAGGCAAGCTAGTGATACTGTAATAAAAATGCCCCAGGAAAGAAACTTTTCTAGTTTTAATAACTATCTCTAGAAAAATCCATAAGATTTATTTTATTTTCTGTTAGTTTAACAAATGTGTGTGAGCAGTTTCTATCTTTCAGTATACTGGACAAAATAATGAATATTTTTGAAACCTTTTCACATTTTTTCTTCTATTACTTTTCCTTTTCAATCCTTGGCTAATATTTGTCTTGAAGATGCAAAGCCTATTTGGCTACTTGGTAGACTTGTTTGTTTACCATTTCAGAGGTAGGATCTGAACAATTTTAATGGCATTTGGTAAATATTTTTGTCCTGTAGCCCTGGGATTAATCCTGGTACCTACTGCTTTTATTTTTACTGAAGGGACCATTACTATTTAACTTTTACAAAATTGCTAGATTCACAAGAGACACTGGGAATGCTTCTTTCAAGTATTTCCCGGTATAGTTTTCCTAGGAATTGTATATCACTGATTTTTCTTTGTGATGTATAATAGTAAATTCTCTGATAACGTAAAATCAACATTATTAGGGGTCTGCTCTGCTGCAGAGTTCTTCAGAGCTTATCCACTCTGTTTCCATTTTAACTAAAGACCGAGACTTGGATATCTATTTAAATAAAAAAAATGCACTGTGATCTTTTGTGAAGAGATCTAAGGAAGACCCGTACTAGAAGTCAAATCAGATCAACAACAGGGCATGTGTTTTCATTTGTTTTATCTGCACTTCATAGAGGTTTCTAGTTATGCAACTCTATGCAAAGTTCCTTTCTCTGGAGGTGTCATCACTTTTCATGAAAGTATTTGTCATCCTGGTTTGAAGTCCATGTCAAGTGTTTGCATCAGATCATGACTCTGACTTGCTATGACTTTATTGTCCCCATCAAGCATTACGAGCAGGAAAACATCACAGGACAAATTAACCAATTCTCATATCAGATGTTGGCACTGAGAGAAATCTCTGAGTCTGCACAGGGGAAAACAGTTAGAGTATTGTTTATGTTTAAAGAAACTGAAACGGTTCTCTCCAGAATACTTTCCTTACAGACTTGTATGTGCCAAGTAACATAAGTTATGCAAGATGCAGTGTTTTATGATTTAATCTCTGTTATGTAACATTCTCAGAAGGGCAGCAGATATCAGGGGATTGCGTAGGCCTGATTTTGTCACTGTCTCAAGTTTAAGAGAATTAGAAAAATATCTTCTTACTAGAAATAAGGGTGAAACCATTAGTTTTTCTTTATATTATTTGATATCAGTTTAATTTTGGTTCACGTTAGCTTGTTATTTGGTATTAGTCCATCTAAATAGCAAAAAGTCAATAAAAAGTATCTACTTCAAATGTCTTTCTCATAATGATTTAACTGCTTCACATTCCTGCTTGGTCAGAAATCTAGTTCTAAAATAATTGGAATATCAGATACGGTGAATGGAGAAAATATTTTACACTATAGAAATTCACACTCTTCCATATAATAGTGGAAAAGAAGAACAAAGATGCTTAAACTTCTTTAAAAAAAACAATTCACACTCCCAGCATGTAGGTCATGAATATCTGTAGGTACCCCATGTTCTGTGTCCACCGAGTGCTGTCTGTGCCGCCACTCTGTGTGGGAGTTAGCATCTGATGTGAAAGTACACACATCAAATTAACCAGCATGAGTTAGAGTTGGAAAATCTGAGAAAGGAAAAAAAAAGTCATTAAAAGATGTGGCTCTGGCTGAGGAGCAGTGGCCAGGCCTGTAATCCTAGCACTCTGGGAAGCTACGGCAGGTAGATGACTTGAGCTCATGATTTTGTGACCAGCCTGAGCAAGCATGAGACCCCACCTCCAAAAATAGCCGGGCATTGCAGACACTTGTGATCTCAGCTACTTGGGAGGCTGAAACAAGAGGATCACCTGAGCCCAAGAGTTTGAGGTTGCTGTGAGCTATGAGGCTACAGCACTCTACCCAGGGAGACAAAGTGAGACTCTGAAAAACAAATAAATAGATAAAATAAAAGATAAAAACATTAAAAAAATAAAATGTGGCTCTAAATTTTTAGTCAGAGCTTATCACAGTATGAAAATTACTAATATTGGGAGAAAGTAATGGCTGCACTATTCGCAGGAACTGTGAATTCACTGACTCACACTTGCATACGCATCTTGGTAGTAAGGATATGGAAACTCATTCTTACTTTGTTATCTATGAATATTGCTAAGTGGCATACTCTTGAAATAGACATTTTAAATGAATATTTGGATCATTTGGTTTCTAGGCGTCTCCTTTAAGCCTCCCCTAGACATGTTCTGTGGTTTGACTGACAGTTTCTGCAGTCAATGTCATAGTCAGCAACTCACTGTGTTTCTCTAGCAGTGACTAGACCTAGCTCTATCATTATCACGACGTAAAAATAAACAATCAGAGATTGAGTCTTTATGCCTCAATTTTAAAGCTAAAAACATGCCTGTGACTGAATTCTGTGTGTTTGCTGTAAATTCTATGTGAGTCTGAACACGCCGGTGGCAAGTCGTACACATACTTCTTAATCTGATTACCAGGGCCTTGTTTATTTTTCCCTTTTGTTTAGTTAAAGCTATGACAGTTATTGGCGTTTTGGTGTTTTTTACAGGCTGTGGAGTGGGAGTGTGATGAAGCCACCAAGAAGGCCTGTTACAGCAAAGGCAAATCCCAGGTAAGAAGGAGGCGTCTCCACCGTGTTTGGAAGGACTGTGTATAAAGTGCCTTCCTCGGAAGGGCGTATTTTTTTTTTTT